AGCACAGAGAAGACAAGTAGTGACTCTATAGCATCTTACTATGCTGATGGACAGACAGTAACTGTCGTGGGGACTTGATAATGGGGGGAATCTAGTAACCATAATGTTGCTCATGTGATTTTATATTAATGATATCAAAATAAGTTTAAAAAAAGAAATGCATATGATGATGTGTTTTTAATTTGCTTCGAAATAATCTGGGAGGGAGGAAATGTTGGGAGTCAGTGGAGCAGGTATACAAAAGTAACAAGACTGCTAAAACTGGGCGATTCGTCATACTATTTTTTTAAAATATTATACCCAGGAACACATCTAACAGAAGATTTCCAAGAAAGACTGCTCCATAGAGAACTGTAAATCAACATTTAAAAAATTAAAGAACCTGAAATAAAGGTCATGGATTGGAAACTCAATATTATACTGAGGCCTGTTATCTTTAAACTGGTCTATAAAATCAATACACTCTCTGGGAAAATACCAGCAGGTATTTTGTGGGAACTGACAAACTGATCCTAAAACTGAATGGGAAGCAAAGAGCAAAAATTACCCAAGACAATCTAAGAACAAAGTTGAAGAAATGACTACTGGGTGTCAGGATTCATTGTGAAGTTACAATAAATGCAACTGTGTGGTATTTGAACAATGACAGTCCAATAGGACAATGGAAGAGAACAAAGAAGGGGACAGATACCTGCCTAAATGGACACCTGACCCATGACAAAGATGACAGCACAGAGCAGAAGGAAAAAGATGGTCTTTCAACAAATGGTAATGGATAATTCAGACACAGAACCCTGACCCCCACCTCCCATCGTATGTAACAGAAGAGCACACCACTCACCCAGCTCTCTCATCGCCCAGTCTCTCTCAGGTTACTAAAAAAGGGGGGAATATCACAAATAAAAAAAAAGAAAAAACAGCGCTCCACCTGTTCATAAGAGGGAAACACATCTATTTCAGATAAGGCAAGAAGATACAAAGAATGACTTACTTTATCAGAGAAAACAGAATGAATGTCTAGACAGTACCACCATGAGAATAAAATTAACTCTGGTGGATGGAGGCCAGGTTGTGCCACCCAGATAACCCTTTTCTGGTTTGAAGCACTCATTCCCCAGGTGCCCAAGAGCATCTTCAGCTGAAGAAGGCTGCCTTGCCAATAGCAAAGCCCCTCTCTGAGAGCAGCCTGCTTTCCAATCACTGGGCTCTGCAGGAGTAGAGGCCAGGGCCCTTGGCCCCAGCACAGAGGACCCTGTATAGCCGTCCCAGCTCCGCAGCCCCCGGAACCAGGCTTTGTTGGGACTGCAGTACAGCCCAGTCCCCTCTGCCCAACCCTGCCTCCCTGACTCCCCTACAGCGGACCCCAGGAGCCCTTCCCAAATACTTCCTCTGCATCTCAGAGACTATTTCCAGGAGACTACAACCTGCAAAGTGTAGCAAAACAAGACAGCAACATAAACAAACAACAATAGGTTTACAGAAGGCAAACAGGGAGAAATACAATACACAGAAGACACAACTCTCCATGATCACTTCCGACTACAGAACACCTTAGTAAGACAGTATCAATAAAACAAGAACTCAAAACTGAGATGATAAATCAGTCTAATGACATGAAAAGGGAATGTACAGATCTAAAGAACAGGAAACCAAAACAATATAACTGCCACATGAATAATTTACTAATAAGGGACTAAATGGCCATTGCTGAAAACGTAATTACCAACACTGGAGGGAGTCACAGTGAATACAGATGAAAATGCCAACCTCTCCCAACAGGACTCATTGCTGGGCCTGAAGTGAAGAACTCACTAAGGAGAGAAAATGGTTCACACATAAAAGACAATAATTTATTGACATAAGGAAAATAAACAAACTGAATCTTCAGCTCTAAAAGCACACTATCTTACAGAAAAATCTCTTTAAGAAAGTTCAACACGATTAAAGCAGCGGCCATGAACTCTCCATAAAAAAAAAGTGCCTGACATTGGAATCTACCACTTAGGAGTAAAATCAAAATAATGAACTTGGGCATGGGGGCGTTGTAGTAAAAGGGCTGTCAGGGTTACAGTATCTACTTCAATGTAGAAGAGATTCAAACAACTGCGGGATTGTAATTATGAAGCAGGATACTACATCCTAAAAGAAAGTATGGCGGGGAGAGGTATGCAAGTTTCAGTTTTCAGAGCAGAGAGTTCATATATACTACCAAAAATTAAAACTTGCATTTACAAAGCTTGTATTTATATAAAATGACTTCAACTCCTTAAAGTTTTTCCATGACCTCATAACCTGGGAGGAACTTTTGAGAAACATTAACTCTTATAGTGAAGAAATATATTTTAAAGTCAACGATTCTTTTAGTTGAACTCTAATTTCTCTTTTCTCCATTTAACTTGGTTAAAACTAAATTTCACAAATACATGCAACCTGAAGTCCCCACCTTTAATCAGACTTCAAATTCAGCCAGCATGACTAATGGTGCGGCAATCCTTGATGTGAAGCAATATGAAGTTCACAGGGTCAGCTACAAAGCAGTCTTACCAAATGTTTAATCTGCAGTTAAGCTCTGAATTTCAGTTAGGAAATAGAGAAAAGTAAGTTACGCAAAGACTTCAGAAAACAAATCAGACAATCCATAACATGGGATATTTTATAAAACACCTGACTCAGGCTTTTCAAAAAGCTAACATCATGAGGAAGGAGTGAGGTGGGGGACTTTGTTAGATCAAAATAAACTAAAAAGATACAACTCTATGCAATGGGTGAAGCTTGACTGGATCTTCTTCAAATGTTTAAAACAACCATAAAAACATCGTGGGGACAATTGGGATGATATAGATTTGGTATTAGATTATTTTAGGAAATTATTAAATTGGCTAAAAGCAAAAATGACACTTTGTAGAGAATATCCAGAGTACAGTATCAGATTGTTTGCATCCTACTTTCAATGGTTCAAGGAGGGAAAAAAAGCAAATATAGCAAATGTTAATTATTGCATCTCATTGTACTTTACTTCCCATTTTTCTGTATGCTTGAAACTTTTTGTAATAAAAAGTTCCCCGGGTGGGGTACTAGGTGATCCTCAAAAACATTAAATAAAAGCCCCCTTTTCCAACTCCTTTCCAGATTAAAGAAAACAATTGATAAATGAGTAAACAAGTAGCATCTGTAATACAGACCCATTTTTATTTTAAAAAAATATCTATATATGTCCCAAATCCATCCATCTAAAAAAAGTCTTAAATTACTAATGCTAATTATAGTAATTTTTAAAAATCTCACCCTAAAATTGCTCTTTTGACTGAATTCGTTATAATCACAACAGAATGACTTTTCCTTTAAAAATATGTTTCAAAATACTAACTGTAGTGGAAATATGGATAATCATTATTGTATTCTTTCGTATATTTGTGTACTTGAATAACCCCCCGTTTTTTAACTGACGTTTTCTAGGAGCGAATGCATGGAAGTGAACACAACTCTAAAAGAGTCTGCCTCTGAAAAAACAAAGAATTGAAGTCCACGTGGCCCTGAGGCAGGTAGCTTTCCTTGAGGAACCCTAACGTGGTTTTGGGCTGAGAGGCTACGGGTGGGAAAGAGGATAACGGAAGGGGCCGGGAGGCAAGGAGTCCGGGGTCAGGCCCTGCACAGGTGCAAACCGCTCGCGCCGTCGGCAGCGCGGACCAGGTCGAGCCTTTCGCAGCTCACAGCTTCTCCCCACGACGCGGAGAGCGGAGGAGAAAGCAGGCAGGAGTCCTTCCGGAAACAGGGAAAGCGAGCTCACATCGGAAACCAGAAGGCCATAGACGGGGTGCCGCGCGGCTGAGGTCTCCGATCATCAATTTAAAGTCACCCCACGCAGCGCAGAAGCTACCTCCTCCCTCCAACCTTCCTCAGGTCTGTTCGACGCGCAATGCGGACTGAGGCTGCGCAGACGCGCCAGCCCAGGAGGGCGGGAAGGGAGTCACGTGGCTCCCGGGAGCAACTCTCTGGGACCTCGAGGGCAGGGAAGCCCAGGCGCTTGTGCAGAAATGAGGCTTTGGCGCGGAGCCTGGAAGGTGGGAGGAGCCAGGCCGCAGGCTAACGGTTCAGCTTGTGTATCCCTAATTCCCAAAGACGGTTGGGTCCGGGTGGGGAGAACAGGAACAAACTACCGGAGTCACAGAGCGCAGGAGCTGCTATTGAGCAATAAGACTGGGGCCTGCACGGGGCCTGCACGGGGCCTGGGCAGCAAAGCTTTGAGAGGATCCAGCCCACCCCCAGCCGCCCGGACCTGAGCAGCGCTTCAGGGGAGCAGGCTTTCATCAAAGTAAGTAAAGTTAGTTTTAGTACAGGCTTCCAGCTCCCATCACTGCAGACTGATCCAGTAGCGTTGTTCAATCCTCGCCAAGTAACACACCACAAGTCAAGTTTGGAAACCGCTGTGTTCAATGATTCCAAAGTCCTGGGGTGCATAAGATGTAGACACGCAGCAAATACTTGCTGAACTAAATACAAGTTGTATATTTTAATTAAGCATTAGTAAATTATTGCGTGTCATAGAGAATATGTCAACAAAAAGCCACTCCTGACCACCTGCACAACCCTCATGAATCTGATTACAAACAACCACTAGTGTGTAATCAACTGGCCACAGATTCTTGGATGACCTTGCTCTTCCCTCACCCCAACAGGGTCTGACAGTTCACACACTTCAAAGGCCCTTCTGTCCAACCAGGCTAATCTATCAAAACTAAAACTATCAAATACTTAAGACCACCCATCAGGCTCCTACCCAAGCAGAAAACAATCTGTTTAAAGTAGAAGAGAAAAAACATCCTCTGAGTACATTCCCATGACCCTCATGAACTGGGTAATTGTTGAAAGGTCCTTCCTTCTACAATACATTCTACCCTCAAACAGCTAATGTTTGGATCAGATTTCTGTGGTTTACTGTTGTAACTAAATCAACCAACCCTCCTCCGCTCAAGAACATGCTCCTAAAATATTTTGAGATGAAATAATAAACCATGTTATTTGAATAAGATTTTCGACTGTATATTACATTACAGAAATGTGAAACGCTTACTTAATAAGGGCTTTTGCCTTGCTGAGACAAAAACCTGATTTCCTCCTTCGGTCATGGAGCTCAGAATTTTAAAGTTGGAAACCTAGATCATGAGGATCTCATACAATAATTCCTCCTGACTGGACACTGCCTTTCATCTTTGAAGCACTTAACCAGTGCTTACTGGTCTTAGCTTCCAAGAAGACACCTGTTTTTGGAGGCCATGGCTGCTGTGGCCAGAGAGAGCACACTGTCACTCAAGTGCAGAGTACAGACTTACCTTCAGACTTCATCTGACATAACTGTCCACCACTCCCAAACAAACCTATTAAGAGCATTCTCTTTGTTTTTTATCCTACGTGTTTTCGCTTTTTTTCATTCGTTTTCACTATATTTGTTAAACGATCCAGATTTGGGGATATGTTCTTTCTGATTTCTTTGAGGCAGTGTTTGTGTTTCCCATGAACACCACCAAGCATGGTGCAATCCACTGGTAGCAACCTTGTAAAGAATATCAACATCTGCAATATCACCAGAAAATATCCCAGATCTATCCCTTCCCTCCATATCTGCTGCTGCCCCCACCCCACTACCAGCCATCTCTTAGAATTATCTAGAACACTCCAGTTGCTTCCTACTCCTCTCCCTGCTTCTAATACCATTATTTCTTCACCCACCCACCACAGACAGCTTTAATCACACAGATTATGTCTTGTCACTCCCCACACTAAAACCTTCCAAGGGACTTAATTGCACTTGGACTAAAATTGAAACTATTTTATCGTGATATCCCTGCTTCCACCCTGGTGTTCCACTCCCAATATCTGCTCTCAACACAGCAGCCAGAGTGACTTAGATCCTGTTACTCCTCTGCTCAACACCTTCCAGAAGGTTCCATCTCCCTCAGAGCCTCCAAGGTGGCCAAAAAGGGCCTCCACAATCTAGCAATCCATTACCCTGGGACCCCACAGTACCATTCCCACCCAAGCTCCTTACCCTTCTATGCCTGGAATGTTCTTCCCCCATCTTCTTAACTGACGTGTCACCTCTTCAGTGAGGCTTCACTGATCATGCTGACACAGCAAACTTTCCCACACCCACTCCCCAATTCCTTTTCCTGCCTTATCTTTTTCTCATGAGTACACAGCCACATTTGACTTAACATAAAATCTACCAGTTTATTAATTAATCCACGAAAAAGCTCCAGAAGGATGGATGGACATTCCATGACATTTGGGCTTTTGATCTGCTTTGTTCACATCTGTATTTCAAGTGCCTAGCACAGTGCCTGGCACATAACAGCTGCTTAATGATTATTATATAAAGAATCCAGTCCAGCCTTCCATGCCTACTTCCCCATCATCTTTCCCGTCTTCTCCTACTTCTCATTCAGTTCCAGTCACAGTGACCTTCTCTTTCCCTCCAGCAAACCAAACTTGTGCCCACTTCAGCATATTCCCTTGTGTCTGGAATGCTCCAGCATCAACCACTGCCCCCAGACACTCTCATATCATACCTGAAAATCACCTTGCTCACTCATGAGCCCACTTGCTCCTTGTCTTTCTCTACCACTGCTGTGGAATCTCCAGGGGCTTTGTGCTGTTCATAGCTGCTTCCCTGGTGTTTCCCAGGGGTTTTAGCACACAGTAGAGGCTCAGTAAATACCTGCTGGAGCCATGTGGGTCTCAGCTTTCTAGAGTATACAAGAAGGCTGAACATACTCTGTGATGTCCCTTTGGGTTCTTTATAAAATTCTGACATCACATGATGGACTCGTTTGGACTAGTGTGCAGTATACCCACAAATCTGTGGTTCTTGAACCTCTTTGGGAGGACTAGCAGGTCCTGTGGTTGGCGCAGCACTGTCTGCCCTGGATTTAGACCCGTTTCCACCATTTAATACTGTGCCTTGTCGGACACTCCCGTAGTCAAGCAGTTTTCTCAGATGTTCGTAGCATGGTATAGTTTCCAAAGAACCCTACCTTAATGACAGCTCGTACAAAGCTCTGTGAGATAACTCACAGGGCTCTGATGCCAGATTTTGCATCTTAGAAAACTGCTTGACTATGGGACTGTCCGACAAGGCATAGTATTAAATGGTGGAAACGGGTCTAAATCCAGGGCAGACAGTGCTGCGCCAATCACAGGACCTGCCAGTCCTCTCAAAGAGGTTCAAGAACCACAGATTTGCGGGTATACTGCACACTAGTCCAGACGAGTCCATCATGTGAACTGGTAATGTTTCCCCCAGTCCAAGAACAGGCTAGTAACTTGAGCACGAATGATCAGACACAAAAATTTACCTGCTCAGGACTCATGAGCGCTGAACGTCTGGATGTGCAGGAAGTCTTGCTCACCTGAGCCCGAGCCCTTGCTCACACTGCCCGGGCCCCCGCTGCCCCCAGGGCGAGGCAGCGTGCGGCATGCGGCTTTCCGAGCTCCACGAGCGTCCCGGCCCTGTGACGGACGCTCCTGTGACAATGCGGCCCGAGCGCCGGCGCCCGCCACCTGCGCCGGCACAGGACTCGGCGGCCAGGCTCCCTGCGCCCCGGCCCCGGCCGCCCGCACCGCCCCAGGACCTCACCCGTAGGTGGTCAGCAGCGCCTTGTTGACCAGCACGAGGAGGAAGGAGCAGGTCCCGTAGAAGAGCGCCGACAGCAGCCTGGCCAGCCCGGAGGGCAGCTCTGCCGACGGGGCCTCGGCGCCCGCGCCCCCCGCCTGCGGACCGGCAGTCATGTCCCGCGGCCGCCCCGGCTGACCCGGCCCCGCCCCTCCCGCCGGCCGCAGGGCGCGGCGCGCAGTAGGGGCTGGCGCCGCTGCTCCGGGAGCCCACGCCCGGGGCGCCCTGGGTCCCAGCGCCTCCTGCGCGCGCCCGAGGACGCCGGCGGCTGCGGAGCAGCGCCCGCCCCTCTCTCCCCCGGCACTCCCGGACGTCCCAGCGTTCGTTCTGCGGGCTTTCCTACTTTTTAATGACTCACACACATCCAATGGCAGATTTTCCAAATCCACGGTTCCATGTTTTGACAAATGCATACACCCATGTAACCACCCAACACAGGGCGCCCATCACCCCAAAAAGTGTCCCTTATGCCCCACCAAAGTCCCCCTATCTCCTTCTACTTTCTATTACCATAGGTTACACTTGCCTTTTCTAGAATTGCCTATAAATTTCTTCTAAGTGAGCATGCACTCTTTTCAAGGCTTTTTTGGCTCCGTTTATTATTTTTGCGACTCACCCATGTTGTTCCTTTTCATTGCTGAGTAGGACGATTTGTTTAATCGTCCGGCAGTTGGTGGGCATATTGGCTGCTTTCAGTTTAGAGCTATTATAAACAACGCTTCTATCAAATTAGTGTACAAGTTGTAGTGTGAACGTGTTTTCATTTCCCTTGGCAAATACCAAGGAGTGGAAGGTGGGTACAAAGTCTGAAGGCTTATGGTGGCTCCGGGTTTATGGGTTTTCGCAGCTCCTCTCCTTACCTGAGGGGCCCTTTCTTTCCTAGGCAGATAGCAACTGAGCATCAGTGTTCGCGGTTCACGTTGGAGAGCCTCCCAGAACTGCCTACCCTGACCAGTCTGCCTGCTGTAGCATTTTTTCAAGTAAGCCATATGAAGCATTATTTTCATTCTTAATAATTAACTTAAAAAATCTGTAAATTTCGCTTTTTAGAAAAGTTAAATTTTTCAAGTTAAACAGATATTTGAGCCTAACTATATCCATACATTTGTTTTTACACTGGAGGCACTGAACATTTTCAGCATTGCTAAGAACGAAAGCAGAACTTGGGACAAATAACTAGCACTAAAAAAAAACAAAGAAGAGTTCACATTACTCAAAACAAGAAACACACATCAGGCCATTTTAAAATAGAAAATGAAAGTTCATGTTCAAGTTAAACCAAAAAAATCTTTAAGTCTTTTTGGTTAATTTCTTCCAAAAGATCAGTTAAGCTTCCAGTGAGTCTCCATACATGTATTGACAGTAAAGTCACTTTTAATAACAGCCTGCATCACATTTGCACTTTACTGGCTTCTATGGATATCTCTGGGGCCTTAGGGTGCTATCAAAATCTCATCCTTACTCTGTTTAAATCACAACTCATACTAAAGAGTAGTCTTGTGAAATTCTTTAGCACAAAGCCTAGACAGGCTGAACCTTGCCGTGTCAAGTACATGGCTAAAGATATACCGAAAATAACTAATGAAAAATTTAAATGATTTGCTTGATTCTTAGGAAAATATAAAGGTCCCAAGTGGACTCTGAAGGTGACCCCAGATTCAGCACATTCTGAATATAGTGAAATGAAGTCCCAGTGGCTGACTGATTACCCTGAGGTCAGGTCCGGGATAGTGCTGACAATACTGAGCTACAGCAGTGTATTTCTAGCACTGTAATAACAAAACAGACAAGGAAGTTAAATGAATATAATCTAAAATGCCATAATTTTAAAGTACAAAAAACAAGCCGCACTTGGTTCCAACGGTGCTAAAAAGATGCCAGGGATGAGACTGGAATGCAGTATAAAAAGCCCCACAATAATAATGATGGAAGAACGTAGGGCTGTCAGTGACATTTCTTTATAACTTTTTATATTATGGTTGTATTTTTGTATTTTTGCTAGGAAAACAAATTATAAAGGGTTCAAGAACATGTACTTTAAACTGTAAATTAAAATAAGTTTTTATTCAAAGCATCTTTTAAAATTACAGCATGTTTATTCTTATGCTGTTAACTCTGCCAAACTACAACTTAGCCGTATGAAGCATAAAACACTTCAAAAGTTTGAATGTAAACCACATTTTTAAAACAAAAAGCAGTCTTAACACACCTCAAATTTTGGATACCAATGTATTCTGTCCAAGTAAATAGCTTATATCAAGAAAGAACGTTTTAAATATTTCTATAGTAAATAGTTGTAATAATTTCTTAAAACTTCCAATTATACAAATAAAAAAATGTTTGTGAATATAACTATTATTTATAGTTGATAAAAGCTGACTAGAGAAACAAACAAACAAAAACCCTTACATTTGAAGGCCTTAAATTTCATTATCTGTGAATTGGCAAATACTTGCGTTTTAAAAATTCTTACTGCATGCTTTCTTCAGGTAAATTCATCAAATTTTAAATTTCCCAGGATTTAAATAGTTGTTTTATAGTTCATTTAAGTCATATTTGAGAAGAAAATTCTAGACAAAATGTTGAAACCTAAACCAAGAAAATTCAGATGCTATAGTCTCTTTACTGTTTATAAGTGCTCCAAGTTAAAATTCTATATACCAGATTACAAACAAAATTCTTAGACCATTACAAATATAAATTCTCTTATTACAAAAAATCCCTCAAGATTTGCAATTTACTGTACAGAGGAATTACATTTTTAAAGTATGTCCTCGTCATACACATTATTTGTTACTATCATCTTTTACACGTTTGCTCCTTTTCAAGACATTTACATACCTCCCCTCCCCCGTGGCTACATATTTTAAACTATCTGTGTACTGCAACACAATGGGATTTTTGGATAAAGAAGCCTGCATTTTAGATAACATTTCAACTACATCTGTAGTCTACTACTTCAATTCAAAAAAGAAAATAAAAGGCACTGACAAGTCCATATTTCTATTATTCTGAGGTTTACTCCAATTAAGCAATCTATAAAATTACCATGCTATGCATGTTAGTTTCTGCTTAAAACAAAAAGCTAAAATGATGGAGGTTTATGCCTACATCAAGAAGGTGAACCACTCAGCTCTTGATTTTTCTCTTCATGCTTCAGTACATAAAGTGGTATTTAAAAATTTCATCTGTTTGGAAAAACAGTTTAAAACCACCACACACATTAACACACTTGCAGTTAAAACTATTCCAGAATCCTGCTTATTTGAGTAGCTAATATTTTCTGCAGTGTTAAACTGACAACTAAATTTAGTGGACACAAAATAGCTTGGCATATTATTCTGAAGTAATAAAGCAAGAAAGTGCTTTTATGCACTGAAAATACATTTGCTTCCATTTGCTAGTAATTCTAACCAAGCAGTACAACTAAAATTTAGTGTTTGCTAACAAAAGATCTAAAACAGCTCACTACCAACAACCCTGTAGATGTCCCTTTTATTCACAAAAATCCAAGTGCCAAATCCATTACAGGGCCCATAATACTTAAAATAGAAAAAGACCAATTACCAAGCTACCTAGACTTTGCAAGATTAATCACTCAATTTTAGCAAATGAGAAATATGAAATGTGCAAAAGTTCCCAAGTTAACATAGTAGGAATGACAAGTGCTTTTCAAATCTAAATATTATAGTGAGTTTTTGTAAAGCCTCAGAAAGATAGAATAAGACCAATTTTACTCCAGTTTTGAAAATTCTGAACTGTTGTGCATCTTACCAAGATCCTCAAATATCTACTTTCCTCCAAAGTCCATAACTTAAAACATCCTCTGAAATAGTCAGTTTTCCATTTCATTAGTCATACCATTTTGCAATTTAATAATATACATACTTACACACGTATCTTATACCTTCTTACTTGCTTCAGTGTTTACAGTATTGTTAAACATACTAATATATATTGTTAAAAATGATCTTATAAATAATCTCTTTCAATGTTCTTTGGCTACATGTACCATTCTGTTTTTTCATATAAGTGTCTTATTCAGAAAGTGCTTCCTGTGAGAACGGCTTCCAATGAATGCATTAAACTTGCAAAATCTAGCTTCCCACAATATGTAGTTTTCTACCCTGTACTAGAAGTCCCATATTTACAAAATACTTAAAACTTTACAACAAATCTATGACCATATAAAAAAAGTGCAATTCTCTCTCACCCCATGTTCTGGGGCGATGACATTCTTCATCAATTTCTACAGAATAGCAGCCTATCATAAGCAAATAAGGTGCTTAGCTTATGCCCAGGGGTGTCCTCTGGAAGTGCGCTGGGCAGTCCGAGCGGCTACTGGCGCAGCGGCGCCCCGGTCAGGTTAGCCAGCTCTATGAGCGCCAGGGCCCCGTGCAGCCGCTCACGTTGCTCTTGCAGTCGGCGCGCAGCGCCACGCTTCTCATCGTCCTCCTCATCCGACGGCAGGTACTCTAGGGGGTCCTGCTGCTCCTGGTCAGCCTTCTGAGCCAGCTTTCCTCTCAAGGTGGGTGCGCGCTGCTCCCTCGTTTCCCAGTACCTACAGGAAACACACACATCGGTGACATGGGGCACGGGGAATCCTCCAGTGTTTACTTCTCTTTTAGAAACAGGGTTCTCACCACACGCTGTTTCACGTGTTTAAGTTTATGAAAGTACAAAGTGATTTCACATATACTACACATACTTCCCATTAGAGGAAAAAATTAAGTTCAAGAAGATGAGGGCCTTGCTCAGATGGCAGTTCTGAGTTGCATACTCAGTCCTCCTCTAGTCACACGTTTTTGCCACTGAACTATAGCCACCTTAAGGATCATGTGTGAAATGAACTACAGTAAAATACAGAAAGATTAGAACAAATAATGTTATATGTCAATTATACCTCAATAAAAGTTTTTAAAAAAACAAATAGTAGAACTAATAATCATTAGAAACCTCTCTATAATATCCAGAGAGATGGTGACTTCTAAACAACTTAACTCTGAGACACTTTAGGCCCACAAAATATGACAGACAGATTAGTATCTGTAACACATGGAGCTTACTCAAATTGAAAGAGTACCACCATTATTCTATTATATAGCCAACTGGTAATTCACAGGAGAAAATGTAAACGTGCTACCTTTTTGGTGCTAAACTAAAGAAAAGCATATTTAAGTGCTACTACATACAAAAATGTCCATACAGAAATTTGTATATTATCGTTCCTAGTGGCTTTATTTGTAATAGCCAAAACTACCCAACTGCCCAACACCGAACACACGAGTCAGCAAGTTGAGGCGCATCCACGCCGTGGACCACTGTTCAGCAATGAGGGCACACTCCAGTACACTCAACAACATGGACGAATCTCAGTATGGAAGGAAAGAAGCCAGACAACAAGAGTACACACTGTGCAACTCCATTTTTATAAAACTCTAGAAAACGCAAACTGGCTTACACTGACAGAAAACAGATCAGAGTTGCCTGGAGGAGAGGAGGCAAGGCTGGCAGAAAGGATTACGAAGGGACCCAAGGGAACTCTTGGAAGTGATGAGTGTGTTCAATGCCTTGTGGTACTGGTTTTACAGGTGTGTACATGTGTAAGATGTATCAAATTGTATACTTTAAATGTGTAAAATTTACTGTATTCCAATTATACTCACTAAAGCTGTTTTTTAAGTTACATACTGTTCGGCTGGAGAAAGGAAAAACACGGACATGCAAACAGAACAGAGAGATGTCATAGGGGGAGAACAGACCAGACCCCAAAGTCCGTGCCGTATATGGAAAGGGGACAGCTCTCCCTGAATTCCATCCTGATGTGCCAACTAAGACCCGGATGTCAGCCTCCTCCCTCTTGGAAAGAAAAAAGTTTCTAGTTGACTATTATGTCACCTTTAGCCAATCATACCTCCCAACACACCTTAGGATAGCTTGCCCACTCCTCCCCCTCCTAATCCCTTATAAGCCTCCCACTTCCCTAACCGGGTGTGAATTCTCTGGCCTGTGACAAGAAGGCCACAGAACCTCACCTGGGGGTATTTAAATAAATTACCTGGCCCTTTGTTGCCTCTCTTTGCCTGCTTATTTCCGCTAGAATTTATCTTACACATACAAAAACTAACACAATTATAGATTTCAAGAAATCCAGACTGCTCAAACTGGAAACATTTTGGCAGTACTTAGGTGTAACAAGAGAATGCTCAGTATGAAATGAAGGACAATGGGGAAAGAATGGCAAGGTAAATTAGCATGGCCCGCAGGAGCCAGATAGTAAAGGGCTTTCAACACCCTAACAAAGGGCTAGACTTCAATACCAGGGGTCATGCTAGCATTTTAGCAAGATCCCTCTGGTAGCAGGGAGAATGGCTCGGAAGGGTTGAAGTGGCTGGATTTGAGAGTTGTTAAGGCAGATGAATCCCTAAGTCAATCACGGCATAGGTGGGAGCACGAGAGGACACAGACAAGGATGACCAACGGGTTTCTACCTTGGGTAAAATTAGAGGATGGGGCAGTGGGGGGCCCCCCATCAGGGAGAGGCAGGAAGAAAGGGGTACAGTGCCAGACAAACACACCCCTGCTGTGTGGAGCTTCCGGGCCGCCAGGGAAAACAGACACTGAATGAATAAGTAAGCATGTGATGGAGGTTTTGAAAGGGAAAAGCACAGTGTGCTTTAAAAGCATCTCTTAAGTGGGTCTAACCCTTTTTGTTTTGGGGGTTGGAGAGGAAGTTAGGGAAGAACTTCCTGAAGCAAAGTTTATCCCAAGTAAGCAATGAAGAATGGGGAGAGCGGCTAAATGAAGAGGGAACCACCCACTCGTCCCCAGCAGAGGGAGCAGTGAGCACAAGGGCCTGGCGCAGAGTGACAGGGAGTCCAGGGGGCGGGCGGCAGCTGCGCAGCCAGAGGGAGGCAGTTCGGGGCTCTAGGCTTTATCCTAAGTGTCAAGGAGGCTGCTAGTCTGTATGCAACAAATGACACCTTAAACCAAAATAGCCTAAGAGAAATCTTTTTATACTGGCTCCTGTTGCCACTTAAAAAAATTAAATAGGGAGCTTTCTGGAACTTTCCTTTAGAAGAACCTCTAGCCTGTACCCCTGTAATAATCAACATGAATCTAACTTTAAGAGGAAGAAAATGAAGCCACAGTGCAGTAACAACAAATGAAGTAAATACTATTCTAGAAAATGGGGATGTAAGAAAGCTTGCTTTTAAAATACAGTGTGACCTGGGCACTCAGGCTAGTCAATGTCACATAGTAGCTTTCTACCACACTGGTCCTGGTGCCACTCCTACCAGTTCTATGGTATGAGGAGATTAAGAAGTGCGATTTCAAGTTATTTTATATGTGCACAAAAGCAACTTATTTAAAATGACAGAGCTGCCGAAACCCCCAGATCAGCCCATGTGCTGGGCAGTCCTCTGCCATGGAGCCCAGGCGGAACCTTACTTTGCCAACCACTCAGCGGCAGCCTGGTTATCCACAGCCTGATGTTTACTGAGCGCGTCTGTGGGCTCCTCCCGCTTCAGTCTGGCATACGGATGCTTCGGACAGTGGCGGTTTGCATGGGTGAATCTGCTGAGGCAGCCTTCAAACAGAGGGAAACACTGATCAGAACCTGGACAGCCAGCAAACACAGAAAATGTTGTTTCACTGGTACCCAAGAAAAGTTGAGACAATGAGATTTGACATTCTATAACCTGGGGGAGGAAAAAAGAAAACCTAAGCATGGTATTAGAGGTGCTAGAGGGGAAGGGGAAGTGGCTTATCACCTCTTGGCCATCATGGTGTCAATGCATTCAACCCCACAGGAAAGTGACTCATCAGCACAAGTCATAAGAATGGTCAAACCTCTGACCCAGGAATTCCATTCTTAGAATCTACCTAAGGAAACATCCCAAAAGATGAACAAAGCTTTGAGGAAGAAAACATGCCCACAGTTTTGTTGGTAACACATTCTTAAAATAAATTTAATATTTACTATCCAACACAGAGACAATTGCTATCAAATTTCAGATATAACTATGCAAATACACAAGATAAACAATCTAAGAATAGTGATGAGATTAAGAGAACCACATAAGAAAAACAATGATATTACTACCACAGCAGTGTTTCACCACTTTACTGAAAATTTAGACACTAATGTACTGCCTTCAGTCTAATAGTTAAAAAGTTTAAAATCAAGGTGAAAGCCTACTTTAAGGGTGGGATTTACTTTTACAGATTTTTCTACTGCCTACAACTGAATATAGTATTTTTAATTGCCCTTTAAGATTTTCATCTAAAAATAATATTTATTTAAAACTCAGTCATTTCCCAGAAAATGAACATGGATCACAGTTTAGGAAAAAGCTTAAAATATTATAAAATTTATATCCAAAATCTCTCTTCCGAAAAAATTCAAGCAAAAGCTATTTTAACTTTTAACCCACAGCTAGTTATTCCATAAACTTAAGCCCTAGCACCATACCATTTTCTGAACAAACAAAAGGTTTCTCCCCAGTGTGGAGCCGCTGATGTGTTTTGAGTTGTCCGCTTTGAACAAAGGCTTTTCCGCAGTCTGGATAGTCACACAGATAGGGCCTCTCACCTATGGAGACAGATGTTATGTATTATTTCTGAGACAACATGGTGAGAAGAGGAAGAGGTGGAGGGAGACAAACAGCCTGTGTTGGTCAGAACTCCAAAACAGTAGGCATGCCAGATGGCGGCAGAGCACTCGGATGCCACCAAGCAGGTCCACTGGGAAGCACAAGAGTCTTCAGGCCTGGAGCTTGTAGATGCCTAGGTTCAAATCCTTAGTTATCATTTTGGCTTATCCCACATATTTTTTCCTCATGATCCAAATCACTCACTCTGCTGATTCTTTAAAATGTGCCCAACTCCTGCGTTCCTGTCCCAACTTCCCCTGGTCACAGCGGCAGGCCCCCCACTAAGAAAGAAGCCAGCTGGCTTCTAGTTCTCCCCCTGCACAGCACTTCCAGAGTAAATGGCACAGCACACTTGCTCTCGTGACGCCAACTACCCGCTAAATCATCCCAAACCTACACTCCTGGAACCACTGACAAGTATCTGCTGACTTTTAAATGGTCCCCTCATATCTGTGCTACACCTACTAGGTTAGAAAGCACACTTCATCTGCACTTCACTCGGGGGATTTATTCTGTCCACAAGGCAGTTCCTCATCTCGTTCTGATCCTTGAAAATCCTTCTTCTCTGTCCATTCACATCTTCCCAACTCAGCAGGCTCTCAGTGAAACTCCCCCTACCTCCAAATAACTGAGCTATAGAGCCCCTCCCTAACTCAGTATCCTGTGTTATTTATATATCATGGTACTCTCCATGCACAAAAATTTATAATACCTTGTACTCCATTTCAAGTCTTATACACAATACAGTGCTAGACTCCAGAAAGTGCTCAGAAATGTTCAGTCATAATCAAACTTATTTTTTGAAACATCATACTTTGATCCATACACTGGTTCTTCCAATATGACTCAAAGAACAGCAATGAGTCCTTCCTCAATTTCTCATTATTTAGAAATGTATTAAATGATTGTGATAGTTGGACATCAGTTATTAAACATAGGATATGGGGGTTATTTAAGATAGTGAGAAAAGCTTTCTACAAAACAGATGCTATTGAGCTCATCTACACCAGAGCCCTGAGGCCCATTCCTGGGCACACAGCATAGCAGGCTGGGAGCATCGTGTGTCAAGCAGTGAGTAGTTGTGGACCAGGACTGGGACGCAGGCATCTTTTCATGATGCCACATGGCCGTGAATCTTACCTACCCTGACAACACGTACTCTACGGTTTGGAAACTAGTTATTTGGGGCATTTCTGACTAATTGGATTGAAAAAATTTTTTAATTCTCAAATTTTATGTAGTAATGGTTTTACTGAATGGTACCTAAAGTCAAAACCCCTTGGCCATTTTAGTTTATAATGATTCAAAATTAAAACTTTACCTCTTCTCAGGGACTTAAGCTAAGAAAACTATATTTTAGTATGTCATTAACAAAAACAAAAAAAACAAAGAAAAGGAAGCAGGTGATGACCATAAAACAGTCAAAAAAATAGGGGCTAGGGACAAAAGCTCAGGTGCCCAATAAGAATATGTGAGCCACTTCCAGTGCTCACATCAAGAAAGTAAACAGAAACAGGCAAAATTAATTTTAATAATGTATTTTATTTAACCCAATATAGCTAAAAGATTATCTTAATACATAATCAATACCAAAAATTCTTAAGGACATCCTTTACTCTTTTTCAGACAGAGTATCTTACACAACTTAGACTAGCCATATTTCAAGTGCCCAGGAGCCACATAGTACTGTACTGGCCAGCAGACTCTAGACTTCAGGGTACGAGAGGTTGTAAGGTAGTGGGTGATTGGGTTTTTGGCACCTCAGTTTCTCCATCTGTAAATTATTAGACACCATTATTAGAACCATTAGAACCTTCTGGGACCAACTCCTTCTATGGAAACAAGAATCCTATCTACCATTTTTCCAATCTCTATATAGTACTTAAAATGCAAGTATAGTGTCTCTACACAAATACAGATGTATGATAGTCTTGGGGTAGCTCCTACAATACAGTTAACTATGAAAACCTACACAGCGCCCAGACTTAAGGGCCAGGTCAAACACTGGGCACTCTAGAAATTCTACGGAAAACTTTACAATTACTATTTTCAGATTTGGCCTACAAATCAGTTTTGGCAATTACGCAGACAACTTAAGGGCATGTTGCATAAAATTCAGATAGGTAGAGGGATAGAACTAAATTTAACAATAACATTTCTGTGGCAACTATGTTTAAGTACCACGATAACTTTACAAGTCACAGAATATCAGTGTTCTGAAAACCATCCCTTCCCAACAAAACAGAGCCTGTTTTAAGAAAAACTTCACATTAAGGAAATATAAAGCAGCTAAGAACTAATTTATGAGCTTAAATATCAAATCAGCTTTCAGGTAAGTATTACTTCTGGCATTCTCTAAAATTTGCTAAACTCACCTGTATGAGTCCTTTTGTGAGCCTGGAGTGATTTCTCCCGTGGAAACACCCTATTACAGATGTTACAACGGATTCTGCTGGACGAATGCTCTCCTTCATTTATTAAATCCCGGACAGTATCTGCTCTGGGTCTACCACGTCGGATTCCATCCTGTTAACAATTTGTATAAACATTAATATGATTTCTTGAACTTCACTCATTAAAGTAAAATATCTTAATAAATCACTTTTAAAAATGTTTGAGGGACACCAGTGAAAACAGCAGAGTAGGTAGTTCCAAAGGCCCATCCCTCCACAGATCACTGAAAAATCAGCTTTGTTACAACTCCAGAAAATAGAGATTGACAGTAACTCAGTGAAAGCTGAATCAACCTAAGACAGTAAGAAAGCTTGGTAGCATCTTTACTGCCCTTCTGACTCCTTTCCCCGTCCCACATAGTGGTCTTGAAGGCAGCAGCCTCACCCTCAGTGTGGGAACCTAGCCCCTGGTTCCAGAGAGAGCACAGCAGACCCCACTCTGAAAGAATTGTTTGTTCTCACCTGTCTGGGCCTACCTGAAGGACTGACATGAGGTGCTTGTCCTTATTTTGCCTAACTTATAACTCTCTCAGGGCCGAAAACTGGCTACACCCAGGGCAGGGCTCAAACCTGTGTAAGGCCAATAACAACTTGCTGCCTCCTGGGGCAAAAGATTTCAACTGAGACAAAGGACACACCCAAAGCCTGGGGGGACTATCTGGGGAGATTCTTTGGGAACTCGGGGCATTGAGGAGAGCCCATGTATCCTAAAGATAGGAATTTAGAAAGCCACGCACTTGCCCAGGGCAGGAACCATGCTCAGAGAAGAACTGAAAGGCCCCAAGCTTTCACCTCTGGCTGATCTTCAGGCTCAGCAACAAGTAGGAAATGGGAGCTAGCTAGGGAAGGGCTGTTAAACAGTCTGGCCAAGCACAGAAGGCGAGCTACAACACTGTCACTCTGCAAAGTTTGTTTTTTTCCTGGTTTGAATGGTTGTTGAAGACAATTCTTTACCCACTGCATGTTAAAACCGCCACTTAGGAGCAAACCACTATAGGAGCAGTTTTTGTATACTACTGAAGCTAAGGTGGTATTAATTTAAAATAGATTAAGTTTACAAGGTTAACTGAAATTCCCAGGGTAACCATTAAAAAACTGGGGACTTTGAATGGTTGATTCAAACTGGTAGGAAGAAAAAATCAGCAAACTTGAAGATATATCAAGTGAAATTATCCAGTGAGAGGAACAGAAAGCAAAAAGAATGGACAGAGCTTAAGACCCCTATAGCACATCACATGTCTTAGTCCATTCAGGCTGCTATAACAAAATACCATACACTGGGCAACTTTAAACAGTGGAAATTTATTTTTTCACAGTTCCGGAGACTGGAAAGCCCAAAATCAAGGTGTAGCATGGTCAGGTGAGTGGCCTCCTCCTAGCTCAGTCAGTACCCCCTAACTTCACAAGGCTGAAGGGGGCAAGGGATATCTCTGGAGCCTCTTTTATAAAGGCACTAACCCTCTTTGTAAGGGCTCCACCCTCATGACCTATAAGCACTTCCCAAAGGGCCTACCCCTTAACAGCATCATCTTTGGGGGTCAAGATCTCAACACATGATATGGGAGACACAAATACTCAGACCACAGCATCAAGCACACTAACATACACATCGTTAGAGATCCAGAAGGCAAGAGAGAAAGGGAGGAAAGAATATTTGAAGAAAATGGCTGAAAAACTTCCCAAATTTGATTAAGATACAAGTATAAACATGTAAGCTCAATGAACTTCAAGAAGAATAAACAAAGATACGCACTGAAACACATTAAATCAAATTGTCTGAAGACAAAGAATCTTGAAAACATCAAAACAGAAGCAGTTCATCACATACAAGGAGTCCTCAATAAAATTAACAGGTGATTTCTCAGAAGAAACTATAGAAAGCAGTGGGATGACATGTTTAAAGTTCTGAATGGGGGAAAAAAGTCAACCAACAATCTTATATCCAACAAAACTATCCTGCAAAAATGAAAAATAAATTAAGACATTTCCAGATAAACAAAATCTGAGACAGTCTTTGCTAGTGCACCTGCCCTACAATAAATCTAAAGGGAGTTCTTGATGCAGAAATGAAAGGATGCTAGACAGTGACTCAGAGCCATACAAAGAAATTAAGAACACTGGTAAAGGTAAATGCATAGGTAAATACAAAAGCCAGAATGTATTGTACATTTGACTTATAACTCCTTTTTCTTTCCTATATAATTTAAAAGACAAATGCTAAACATATTTAAAAATATATAAATTCATGTTAATGGGAATACAATGTAAGAAGATATAATTTGTGATGGTAACAAAAAGGGGGAGGAGCAGTTTTTGTATACTACTGAGGCTAAGGTGGTATTAATTCAAAATAGATTAAGTTTACAAGGTTAATTGAAATTCCCAGGGTAACCATTAAAAAAACTGGAAACTGAGAAAGGAATGAAAAAGTACATTACAAAGAAATCAAAGACAAAGAAGGCAGCAACAGAGGAATTGAGAAAACAGGTACAAGACATCAGAAAACAAAATGGCAAAAGTAACTTCTTCCTTATAAGCAATTACTTTAAATGTAAATATATTAAATTATCCAGTTAAAAGGCAGAGATTGGCAGAACAAACATGATCTAACTATATGCTATCTATAACAGATTCACTTTCGAAACAAAACAAACTGGCTAAAAGTGAAAGGATGAAGAGAGATAACTATGAACACATATGCACCTGACAACAGAGCCCCCAAAAGATATGAAGCAAAAATTGACAATTATGAAGATAGACAACTCAAAACACCTAGAGAATTTCACTTTCAAAAATGGATAGGACAACTAGACAGAAGGTCAACAAAGATATGGAGGATTTGAGAAATACGATAAACCAACTAGACCTAACAAATACAAAACACTCCAGACATAAACAGCAAAATATACATTTTTCTCAAGTGCACATAGAACATTCTCCAGGACAGACCACGTTAGACCATAAAGCAAGTGTCAATAATTTTAAAAAATTGAAATCATCCAGTTATCTTCTGTGGCACACATGGAATGAAACTATAAATCAGTAAGAGAAGAAAAACTGAAAAATTCACAATATACAAAAATTAAACACACTTAAACAGCCAAAGGGTCAAAGAAATCACAAGGGAGATTAGAAGAGACTTTAATGCAAATGAAAACAAAGCACAACATAGCAAAACTTACAGAATACAGTGAGTGGATTGCAAGACTTACTATATGCTCCCCAACGGGTCTAGAGGTCCAGTGCAATCCCTACTAAAATGCCAAAGGCCTTTTTCGCAGAAACAGAAAAAGTAATCCTCCAACTGACATACAGAATTTCAAGAGGCTCCAAAGAGCTAAAACAATGCTTAAAAAGAACAAAGCAGAAGGACTCACACATTCCTATTTCAAAACTTATCCCAAAGCAATGGCAATCAAGACAATGTGGTACTGGCATAAGGAAAGACATAAACCAATGAAACAGAATTTGCAGTCAAAAAATAAGTCCATATCTATGGCTGATTGATTTTCATAAGGGTTCTCAATAACATTCAATGGGTAAAGAATTGTCTTCAACAAATGGTTCTGGGATAACTGAATTTCTACCTGCAAAAGAATGAAGTTGGGCCCGTGCCTCACATAATATACAAAAAAATTAACTCAAAATGCACCACACACCAAAATTTAAGAGGTAAAACTATAAAATTCTTAAAAGAAAACAGGGATAAATCCTCATGACCTTGGGTTTGGCAATGGATTCTTAGATATGACATCAGAAACAAAGAATAGATAAACTGGACTTAACCAAAATTAAAAATATTTGTGAATCAAAGGATATTATCAAGAAAATGAAAAGGCAATCTACAGAATGGGAGATATTTGCAAATCATGTATCTGATAAGGGTCTAGTATCCAGGATATATAAAGAACTTTTCCAACCCAAAAACAAAAAGACAATCCAATTTAAAAATGGGCAAATGTTGTAAACAGACATTTCTCCAAAGAAGTTATACAAATAGGCAGGAAGCTCATGAAAACATGCTTAACATTGTTAGTCATTAGGGAAACACAAACCAAAACCACAGTGAGGTCAGTTATGTCTCGATAAAGTTGGGAAAAAAATTTATTAGATTAAAAAAAAACCAATGACACAGGACTTCATACCAACTAGGTCACACTAAAAAAAAAAAAAAAAGATTAAAAGTAGGAAATAGAACTGCTTTTAAGGCAAGAATATAGAGAAATTAGAACACTCATTTGTTGCTGGTAGGAATGTAAAGTGGTTCACACCTGTGAAAATAGTTTGACAATGTGGCACAATGTCTGCACACATGTACATACACATACACAGTGAATACATACACAATGGAATGATATTCAGCCATGGAAATGATATATGTTACAAGGTGGATGAACCTCAAAAACATCATGCTAAGTAAAGGAAGCCAGACTCAAAAGGCCACATATTGTATGATTCCATGTAATGAAATATCTGGAATAGGTAGATGTTCAGAGACAGAAAACAGATTGATGATTTCCAGAGACTGCATGTCGGGGGAACAGGAAGTAACTACTTAGGCTTACAGGGCTTTCCTTCAGAGTGATGAAAATATTCTGGAACTTGATATAAGCAGCAGTTGTACAACATTGTGGATTAGTGTCACTGAATTACCCTTTTAAATGGTTCATGTTATGTTATGTGAATTTCAATTTTTTTAAAAAAACTAAGGAAACCTGAATATGCTATAGAGTTTAGTTAACAATAACGTATCAATATGGTTCATTTATTGCAGCAAATATACCATACTACTGTAAAGATAGCACAAGAAACTGGGTGTGTGGTTTATGGGAACTCCTGTACTCTGAACTTGTCAATACATCTAAAAGTAATCTAAAATGAACATTTACTTGAAAAAACTTTATTTCCCCAGATAACTTAAATTTTACAAATAAAAGTTATATGAAAAAAATTAAAGGATCACACTCAACTACATCCAAAAGGATGCGCTTACTGCTTCAGTTTAAAAATCAAAAGCCTTCCGAAAGCTTTGAGAGAATAAGCTAGAGCAAAATTCCCTTCTATCAATTTTCA